GGTGGTTGACATACATCAACCACGCTGCCCACGTACGTCGGAATTCCTCCGGTCGGTTGTCAAATTAAAGAGGCACGCTGGGTGGACATCTCTGGATATATCTTTTTAAGAGAAAACACTGGGCCTTTTGCATGAAACTGGTTATTTTTAGAAATGACATGCGTCAATCACTGACGAAGTTTTCGCACATGCGATGATTGTTTGCGGACTTTGAGGTGCTACACAGACAAAACGGATCGATATAACACATGTAGTACAAAATTTTGAAAATAAAACGAACGTATGCATTTTTGTTTCTAAAAACATATACTCCCTACCCCTCATTTACGCACCTGATGTAAACTAAACCTGTAAGCTACACACGTGAGTAGTAAGCCAGTGGGTTTCATATAATTTTGAATATATTCACATTTCGGGAAACCTCTTATCCACAGTGCTGACTCTTTCAAAGGCCATGTCAGAAGTGATGACGAAATCGCCTGGTGGCAAGCTTGGATTCGCTGGACCCAAAGCCAACCCTTTGACATCTTGAGGAGTAATTTCTCTTCCGTGAGTCAACGTCACTGGAGGACGTGCGCCTCTTATTTTATCCGCAAGCCACTGGAGGAGCGCAGATGACATACAGAAAACGCAGTGGTGGTCCAGAATTTACATCCCACACGACCGTAAGTGTCGTGTCGACGATAACCATCGGTAAAGTTTCGACATTTCCAGCGAGTGAATGATAAGCAGATTGGAATGTTCCTTTGAACATGAGTCACATGGTCGTAAAACTTTCCCATAATTATTATGGACCACTGTCTTTTGTGTTGGAAACTGTTCGATATGGAAAAAAAGAGGATTATAAAAATGGGTATCAGATATTTAACTTTGTGTATTGAAAATGTAACTTCACTGTTGCAGGTATCGGGGAAGATAAAGACCCACACCAATAAACACTATAAGCACAGATGTTCAAAAATGACAACGGAATGTTAAATCCAGCCACACGCTTGTTTAAATCAGTATACCAAATTTTTTATGGTATATATATTCTTCCAGGTTACAATTTAGGGCCGTCCAAAACCAGAAGTTTCCTTTCAGTCAAGAACGAGAGAATGACAATCACAGAAGGAGAAAAAAAGAATCACAGGAAGTACTTCACTAATCTTCTCGAAGAGGAAGATAAACTCGGTTGTCGACGATAAAGGTCAACCAGCGAGTTCTTCTCCCGGCTCAAACGGCCCGTTAAAGTTGACTGGTTCCCCCGAGGGGGGTAGGGGGTTATGTCGCGGTCTTGGCCACTGCTTAATTGACGGCACGAGACCCTCACATACTTACTGCTTGCTGTTTTCTTTTCTTTTCTTTCTTTCTTTTTTTTTTCATCCTTCCCCGCTCGCGACTCGGAGCTGGCTCTCTTGCTTGGCACGCGACTTCATGCCCAAATATGGTTGGGGAGCTGCCACCGTACTGGCCCAACTCCGCACGGTGTTTGTACGGTGTTTGTGTGTACTTACTAAGGGCCTGACCAAGCTATATTATATCGTGCGTGGTGCAATGTACTCCCTACCAACCTCCTCAACCTTCGCTGTATACCACATACACCAGCAGTAACATATTTCAAACTGCCTGTACACAAGCCATGCCTCTTCAGACCAATAATATATCCAACAAGTTATCAATAACCGAGAACATATTCCTATTGCGATGGACACGGGGACGCTACCGAATATCAGAAAACAAAATTGTGGTCAATATTTTTAAACGTTAGAAAACAGTGATAAAATTGAACCTCAATTTTTTAGAAAAGAATTACTTGTATAATAATTGAATGTCGAGTTATACTAAGCTCTAATCCAGAATCAGCAAACTATATGGGGTGTCATTCATGTGCCCTTTGTGAACGAATTAATGTAAGCCTACATTCACCCGATAAGAATGTTGTCACTTGATCTGCACAGTACCAAGAAATACCGAGAGTTAAACCAGCATAGTATAACTTGGTGGCATTTCCTTGAAAGATCACTTGTTATTTTCAGCAATATAACCAAGCAACTTTTTTTTCCATTTCTTAAAGCTTACGACAAGGCAACATTTTATATTTTGTACTTTAAGATGATCAATATGAATATAAACTTGTATTGCACTACGCGTGAAAATGAAAAACAAGGAGTAATTAAAAAGTTTCAGACAGGCCTACGGGTAAATCAAAAACAACAGTTTTAACTATAATTTGCACAGATAATTGACTTAGCATTGCTATTGTTTTTTCGGTTCTCGACTTTAGAATGAATGTTCGAAATTTGACTGCATCACCAATACCGTCAGGAAATTTGAAAAGGAACAAAAGTGCAATATTTTGGACAATCCTAATTCAGGCAATTTGAGCAGCTAAAGTATCCCATTTGCGGGGATATTTTCAGAGTCAGACTGAAGTGCTCGAAACTTTAATTTCTTAATGTTATATTTCAAATGCATTTTCGTGACCGTTGAGGATGTCAAATCATGGAAAAGAATCCGGAAGGCCCCGCTGAAATATGATCATAAATATTTGTCAATAATTTTTAAAATCGCTAAAGTTGGGAAAATATGCCCTAAATCTATTGTTCAACATTCCGCTAGAGTTAACTTTGTTTTTCAGAGGGTCACCCATCTGGGTGCCTCCCACACAACTCCTAATTTTGCGTGCGAACGTTTCTTGAGTGCAAAATTTCCCAATTTTGACCCCTTAAAGCTTCAGGGGAACCCACTTTTATTCAATTAAGGAACAGCGAAAGAGTTCAGTTTGTAAAAATGACCGCACAGTCGAACTCAGTATGGGTTTAATTTTCACCACTGCAGTCGAGCGGTTACTCTGGTGCCCTGCCTCATTGCATGCAACATGCAACTTTAACTGTAGAATTGCCTCGAAAATTCCAGATAGAGGCTGTAACGCCTATAGAGTATAAACATTCGGAATCACGCTGGTTACCTGTTAATTCTGTGTGATTATGGGGCCCCTTTGCATGGCATTCCAGCACGTACTAGTGAAACGCAACCACCTTCTGAGTACAATTTCTACATCATTAGAAAAAGTAAATCGGTGGTCTCAGGTGCGACCGATTCCCGACGCCAAATACGGCCAAAATTCATTCAAACCGTTAACGAAATTCCCGAGTTTTCATTCGGCTACGTTAGTCCACCCTACAGCGACCACCGCCGGGACAAATCAAGGACTAAATCGAGAGGAATTCGCAGAAAGCGGGTTTTATATTGATTTGATGAAGCTTTGTTACCCATTTTTCTCGGTGGGTAAATGTCAGCTCTTTGTTGCTGCTTCAGTATCCCGCGGTGGGCCGAGTGTTACGGCGCAGTCGTCGCTGACCGTTCGGTGAGGTACGGGAGCGCTCTTAGAATGAGGCAGGACATTTGCAGCAGGTCAAAAGAGTTGCGCTTAGCTTGACTGTTGTCCTCTAACCAAAACTAACAATGACATGAAAGGGTGACGGGGGCCTAATATTCATGCCCAGTTTCTTCCTTAATGAGAAATGTGCCTCCGTTATTCTTATTGAAAGAAATTTCATCGGAACAAAAAGAGAGTCTTTATTTAGAGTTGAACGCTCTGTCCGTCAGTGTGAGCAAAACGAACGGGGTTGCAACATGCCAACAAATCATTGCAGACAAATGAATTGAACAATTTATATCGAAGCTGTTAATGACAAGGATCCAGTTGTATGATATGGTACCTCCTAGTCAAGATCCCTAGAGGATGTTTCAGGAGGAAACTAACCGAGTACCAAGTGTCTCTGTACGGTCACAATCGCGCGTCTAAACGCACTTTTTTCTCAACATTCACAACCACGAGCATTCTGTTCTTTTGTAGATCACTACGTGAAATCGGACTCCGGGGAGTTTGTCAAGACAACACATGCAAACTTCAACACGAGGGGAGGTGCTGATTAGGACGACACGGCCGGATTGGGAACCACTAACGAGAGGCACTCGAAATAGACGGGTGCTATCAATGGCCTGGGAACGCAGCAGAGAGCGGCAAGGGTCCTGGCTTCCAACACGGTGTGGATTTCACAAAGGACAACTCGAGAAACCACCGTCGGATTTTCAGGATTCAAATTGTTTCCCAAGATGAAGCTAAAGAGACCTACTTTTTCTCCATGAAAATGAAGAAGGCATTTCTATTCTGGCCAATGCGATAATCATTCAATTTTGCCGTACTATGAGTGTCTTTAATCTTCATGTCTCTGTTTCTTCATTTTTTGATTTAAAGAAAAAGAATCAGCACAAAAATACGAACAAAAGTTTTCAAGAAGCAACGCATTCCCACACAAGTATAGATTTCAATAAATGGGAGGGCGTTATGATGACATCAACAAGGTGGATGTTCACGACAATATATTCACAATGTATGCCAAAGACAAAACTCGAAGGGAAGCATGGAATAATTGGCATTTTTTCAGTTCGGTACAAGAAGTTTGAAATGTCTCATGACTCATCCCCGGTCAAAAGGTTGAGAGGAACATAAATTCCCTGATGACTGATCCACTGACCATTTCACAAGAAATTGAAAAAAACGATGTGGAGAATAAAAGCCATGGATTACCAAGTATAAAAAACTTGCATGTTCAAAGTTTAAGTTTCCCAATTCGTCAAATCACCTTCATGTACATCCAACTGGCACAAATAATAGGCCAACATAAGACCCTGTCAATATTGGTAAAACAATGCAGTGCTTCAGTACTTAAGACACTGTGCAGGTCTGCGTTGTGTGAGGTGAAGGGGAACTCTTACGAAAAGGGCCAAAATGGGCAGAAATAATGAGACTCTTTGTCTTGAACCTGAGATTTTGTGTACACAGAACAAATCACCGAGATCCGAAACTTGCATGGCACCGTCAGTGTCGGGACCGTTGCCCGGGGCCAGGCGAGGTCAACGTTGGGCTACGAAATCATGCTGAAACAAGGACTTGAATATACGAGCTGGGGAAACAAGGAGTCTTAGGCTTTCAATAATTTCGTATGACTTACCCTCATCATCGCTGACAGGGGTGAAGCAGTTGTCCCACTTGGTGGATTGCTGGGTGACGGGCGGCCTCACAAAACGTCGAACCAGAAACGAACGCGGCATTGTGATTCAAACGGTTGAGAATGCCAAAATCTCAGAGCAAACTTTTTCTTCAAGGAGTATCCTCAAGAAGTATGTAAGAAGAAACTTCTGCAACCAAAGGCTTGGTGTTGTTTTACTCTCCGTGTCCTCTTACCAACTGGCCACTTTCTCTCTCACACATCTGGTTTCTTACTCCGTGTATGCAGTCATCGGTAGTCGGTGATCATCATCAAGAACCGAAACCCACTGCGCGCGCATGCAACAAGTGTCACCTGTCGGCCACCGCTACCAGTACACAGGTTACGGTAGAAGCGCGGCAAAAACCCCGCTGCATTCTGCTTAGCGTCCCGTGGCGTACATGTCCAAAGGCATATCTACTCATTGCTCTGCTCGTGCGCATGCCTGTTAGTTCAACCAACATCTCTAGGTGTGTATGGGGGGGGGGTGAACTTAAAAAATGACATCATAAGATATTGTTAATGATGAACTGTAGGTGAACAATCACACCGTACACTGTATGATCAGCTGGAGTGCAGAAGTACAGTGTTACCGTTGTACGGTTACCAGTTTCGTCAGACGCAGTTATGAATATAGCTGTCGGCGATTTCAAGATCGGGTTTCATCAGTGTTATTTAGTCGTCATTGCCTAATTGATCAACTTTGCGGAAAGCAAAACACAGGCCAGGCCATTTCTTTTAAAATCCGAGGATTAAAAAAGTCTTTGTTCTTTTCTTCCGACTTTTGTCCTTAGTCAATGCCCACCTACCAAGCATGCATGGATCTTGGGAGCCTCATCATGCCGGGCATCTTAACAAATATGGCACAAAAACAAAGGTTGCGAAAGTATAGCGTTGGAGTTTTCCACCACTCTTTTAAGAAAAAAATGTTAAGGCACAAATTCTGGCGATAGTGAAAGTTATCGAGTATTAACGATATAGTGTACTTCATCTTAGTGTGCAAACATTCAGCTGCTTTTCCAATTTCTATAGGGACATTTTGAGAAACAAAATTTAATTTAATTAAAACTTCACTTCATTAATGGTGTCTCATTTGCAGAAAAGCATTAATAGGAGGATTCTTAAAAATGTAAAAAAAAGCTTGGATTCCTGTCATTTCACACGGTATGTCTTGTGAAAATCGGTTCTATCAAAATTATTTGGATCTCAAAAGGTAACATTGAGCCCGGGCTTGTTTTCGATTGTGTTCTTGAAAGGGTGCATTATAAACGGGTTAATGTGGATAACTGTTCAATGGACTTTTAAAACTTGACGAGTTATGTACTGAGAAATCTAAGATTCCATGAAGTTACAAACCACATGCAAGTATTGTTAAAAATTTCCTTGTCTAGAATCACCGGGGCTGCACTGTAAACATTTCTTCCCAAACTCATGAAAAATGATGATTTGTATCTGCCCGCGCACTTGGTGCATGACGTAATGAGTAAATGTTGAGGACTAATTTCTATAGCCGTTACATACGGGTGACGATGTAAAAAAATCGCAGGTGTTAGTAACAACAAGCAATCCGTGGCCGTGCATGCATGATTAAGTTTGGTATGACGCCGTGTGTGGCCTAGGCCGACTTGCGGCTCGTGCGTTTGTATCTCGGCTACACACTTAGCACTCGTTTCTGCCAGAATAAGAAAAATCACCCCAAATTTGTTGATGTCCTATTTCACGGGTGGCTACTCGGCCCAAACAGTATGAGGATATAACGCCCGATTTTTAGAAGTGGCAATCTGCAAATTCGAGACGTGTCGATGATTCTATAAATAAAAAAATATTAAGGTGACACGTCCCTGCCCCTCATCGATGGCCATAATGTGACCTTCATATTTTCGGCTCCGAAGATGCATTGAATGTTATGATTTTGCTAAGTACGATTGAAGGAATATACTCAAGGGGTCTGGGCAGCAGACGCTTTGAGGGTTCTTTGAACCCCAAACATTTAACCTTTTAGGGCGTGCTCTAGAATCGGTTTCGCACTGGAATCGGTTTAAAAAGCAAAAAAAAAAAAAGGTCCTCTCAGAAAACTTCCAAAATGAAAATCACATAAAAATTGAAATGAGGCAGCAGTCAGATATAAAAAAGCCTTTCTGTCACATGCGATATGTTATGAAATTATATCAAGTAACAGTTTTTGTATTTTTAAAACGAATAGAAAATCTCTTTCTTGATTTTGGGAGAAGCTAGCAGCTGGAGACTCAAACGATATGTTATTTTCTCCCGCCATGACATTTGTTGATCTTTATTAAACCCAAACCGGTAATTATCTTATCCTTATATTTCAGCATCGTACTACTTGTAAATATAAAGGGAATCTTGTTGTAACGGTTGTTTAATGTAAGCCTTTTTTCTGCCAGTAGGGCCTTAACAAAACACAGCGGAGAACGAGAAAACAACCTAGAACTTTACGTGCAGTTTCAAATTAAAGACGAAGACCAAACTGCCCACATCATGAGCAATTTTCTCCACGTATGGTCTTGTGATGAGTTTTCGACATATTTCTGGAGTTACGCGGTCTATTGGGGGACTTCAGAAGGTCCAAAAAACCTCGTCTCTGGCGGTTTCCCTCGAAGCCAAATTTGCTCGTGCGCCGAGGGCATTCTGAAGAAGACAGATGGCGAACTGAGGGCGGCCGCTGCTTTGTGGCGCACGCTGACTTGGCCTTATTTGGAAATCACCCCGTTTCTAAGCACGTGCCACCAATTTTCCTCGCCAAGACAGAGCGAGCTTTAGTGGAGGAATGTCTCCCAATCACAGATGGTTCTTGGCTGTCGTTATTGCAGAATAGCTACACAGATGAGATGAAAAAAAATTAATAAAATCGCTTATTTTGGAAACAACCTCATTTTCATTTTAATCCAATGGTTCTGATGCAGCTGCGAGTACATTGTCAACTACGACCAGACAGCATTATTTTAACATTGTCTGTTTCTAATAATTTAGCTTTACCTCTGGTCTCAGGCTTCTTCAAAGTGACATTGGACTATTTTTTGTGCTTTACAGTTTAACTGAATTGGATTCATGACACATCCTGCCGTAAGTGGCAAAATAGTGCACTATTGGACTATTTTTTGTGCTTTACAGTTTAACTGAATTGGATTCATGACACATCCTGCCGTAAGTGGCAAAATAGTGCATAAAAAGAGCAAAATGAGGTAAAATGTGGGATTTTAAGTGTGAACTTGTCTCACTCTTAAGAACAAGAGATATTGGCTAACAAAGAGAGGCTGCCGCAAAATGTACGCATCGTACTTCAGCTCATCCCTAATCGGTTCCATTCGCGCTGACAATAATCTACTCTTTCAGTAGCCCTAAAAATCCTGAAACATAAATAAAAAGATGTTTTCCCAATGATAATTCTCTCCCTGGCTTACACTTGCTGACATTGGTCGTGTTAAAGATCTGTAACTTCCAAACTGAGCAAGGCACACGAAGTTGCTCCAGAAACAGACGGTAAATTTCTCTTCGTTGACTTCGGACAGTTTTCTGAGATGATTTCTTTTGGGTCAAAAATGCGTTTTGAAAATCTCAAATATATTGTCAAATAATCTGGAAAACAAACTAAGTAGAGCAGGGCCAACTGTCCTAACCCCCCCCCCTTCCGCTCGCCCCCAGCCATTAATAACCTGCATCGCCACCCCACGAATCTGACCGGCACGCGACCCACACACGCCGGTCATTTCCCGTCTACTGTGCACCCAGTGTCGAGTGTCCGACAGTACATGTAAAAAGCTTCAGAACCTGTTGCTCGCCGCATTCCATTGCCGTAAAAGGCAAAGTCTCATGCCGAGCTGCAGCGCGCCTGGTCAGGCGGCATGCGAGTCGAAATTACGCTAAAATCAAGGCAAATCTACTGCGGCAGCGACCAGTTATTTCACTGCGAGTTTTTTGCCAGTGACATTTCGGAAAATTATACATGTTAGACAAGTACCATAGAAAACGGTGTGATGTGGTTTAAATACTAATAGTAACACAAGATGATTATAACTCTACGGAAATAAACTCCTTTGACTCATGCAATATTTTGAAATAAAAACGAATCCTGACACCCTCACCTTCGAGATTTGGCTTAGTGTAAATCTTGGAATTTCGGAAGCTCTCTTTCTATGGCACACTTTCTTCATTTTAGATTTCAATAGCATTGGTGCTTTTTGTCGGAATTTATAGATCAGCCAAACATCCGAAAACCATAATACCAAGCTATAAATTACTGGGGTTGAATAACATCTTTTCTTTGCATTTTAGGGCAAGGTTGGGATATTCCTTTTGCTTTAGTTAACTTTTCTTTGTATTAAAAGACTTTTATGGTTTGTTTTAAATTAATTTTATTGCTTTGTGGCTGATCTGTGAATCAAGCACCATGCCGCAAACAGCACAGTTTCCTTGTCATAAATTCAAGACTTGGTATTTGGACCAAGAAAAAAATTTCCAGCGAAAAAACAGGCGTCATCGTGTGGATCTAAACGTACAACATAAGAAACCCAGGAATGAAGTGCTCAAGTCCCACTCTGTCCCTCTGAATGCAACGAGGTATAACCACAGTCGTCTAGTGCATACCATGCCTTCCATGTGCACAAATCCTGGGGGATTAGGTACACAATGCCTCCACTTTTTGCCAAGAAGGATGGTCTATCGAATCTTCCCCCACTTTTTCTTAGTAAGAAAACAATACAGTAAATTGTAAAGCACTTCTTAGACTTCCCAAACATCATTGAAAATGTTTTAAAATGTTTCATTTGCATTCCTTAACCACTTTTGGAAATTAGAGAAATAAGTGTGCGGTAAACTTGCCAAAATCATACGTCAGCTGGGACTGGGACACGGAAAAAAAATCGACCCTGGGTCACATGCACTGTGTCCAGCACGCGGATTCTCCTTCGGGAGCGACCGGCCAACATCCGATTTTTAATTTAAAAACAAAACAAACACGATCTGTAACTACCGTGTTTCAATTCATTTAAACATTTACCATCGGACCATTATAGGTATTTTATCGAGCCACCTGACTTCACATTCATTTCGTCTGCAGCCCCGTAATTACCAGAAGCTTGAACTCTAAAAGTGGGCTTCATTCTAGAAGCTGGATCTGATGTAGCTCTGGTGGACTCAAATTGAGCGGGATCACTAAATTGAGGGCTAGTAAAATCATGAAGTCGAGCCGAGATTCTGGACCATTTCAATGGAAAGCAACGCCACGATCAGTGGCTGGATAATATGTAGTTACCAGTCCTGATCTCTCTTTCGTTTCCAGCCGCCGCATCTGCAGGTTTTATTCCATGCTCTATTTTAATGTTTTTAGCAAGCTCAGACCAAGGACAAGGGAGCACAGCTGCGCACATGACTGACAAGTACCGGGGCAGTGCTTTGACCAAACCCAAAAAGCCACAAGCAATTTGTAAGTCGCCGGTCAATTCCCTCCCCCCCCCGTCAAGTCCGAAGCCTGTCTAGAGTCATATTTGGCATGGAACCTTAACACTTTTTCTGACATCCTATATTGATGATCTAACCTGTAATGTGTTGCAAGATTGGTCTCATTTGCAAGGGCGTAAATCCCAGTGTCTATCCACCTACACACGTTTTGAGGAGAGAACAGAATTTAAGCACTTTGTAAAGAATTTTTCGGACTTCCCAACGATTAAAATATATCAAATGTCACTCAAAAAGGAGAAAGTAATTTTAAAAATCCATAACTACGTTATGTTGATGTTAGATTCTGCACGAATGTACATTCATATTACAGCTGTACATCTGTATCACGGACATCGCCCCCTATATAATGTAAATGGTGTCCCCGCCCCGCTTTTCAAATTTCTATGGCCGGGCAAGTCATCCCCCCATCCCCATCCCCGATCTCCTCCTCCCAATTTTTGGCACAAATTTAAGCCAATGGTTATTTGTCTGTCAAATATCTGCTCTTAGAACCCCTCTTCCACCACTGGCGAGGAAGATGCAGGTCGGTGGGAATTTTTTCAACGGGGTATGGCTCGTGACACGCCTGTCTCGAAGCCGGGCTTGTCGCCGGGGATGCTTCCCCCCTCCCGTGGGGACTTCAAAACGGGTACGAAAGGCAAAAGGGAGAAAGAAACGACAAGGAGTGAGTTGAAAGGGGAGGACACTCAAGTTAATTTGCTTGAAAGAAAACTCGAATTGGACCCTCACCGTTAACTTTTTATCACTGATGAGGGGAAAAAAATGGTTATCTCCCCTCCCTTGAAACAAAACCAAGCCACGCTGATGATTTTCCGATCAGACCTCAATGTTGGAAAATGGGGCTTGCCTTTGAAGGGCAAGTGTGAGAGACTGAATGTGGGCACAGTTGGCCCATATCCCACTCCCCCAAACCATAAAGTTTGCGTGTGTTAATTCGCGGATACAATAGGAGAGCACTGTCCTAATTCAAGGCAAATTCTCTGAAAATCTACATGACCAAACATAACATTGTTTTTGTTTGAAAGGCCTCAGGGACTTGGGGCTCCAAACTTTGTTAATTTTACAATGGGGCTTTTTTCAAAATTCAATCGGGCTTCCATATATAGGTGTTCCGCCATACACACCTTGGAAACAGCCAGCTCAGTGCGCCCTCAAGAGACGAGGGGTAATTAGCGGGCTAAAAACTCAACATGGCGGCTAATCAGCGTACCACGGGCTGGCCAAAGTACCGAAACGACCGGTTAGACAGCAACCCTGGGTCCATTAAGAATGATACTTCAAATTACGTACCAAGAGAAAGAACAGCTGTCCTGTGAGTAGCTTCAATATTTTTAAAACCGACTATTTTTACGAAAACAGCTTTCCAAAGTTGCGTTGACTTTGCATTGTTTCAATGTTCAATAAACGAGCATGCTTTTTTTGCTGGCATGGCTGGCATTACATCACATGTAGTGACATGCATGCTGGCCAGACATGGCACGTGCGGCGTGCTCGACCAGGTTAGAGGACTACTTAGTTGGACTACCCGACTGGTTTGGAAGCACTTAATGGTTAGCACATGTCTGCTGACTACAGAACTTTAAAGACGGACATGACCGTGAAGGAAGCAAGAAGGATCCCTCCCCTTCTGTCATGTCTGTAGGCATTGCTATTACTTATTACTAGTGTTAATACATGTAGGATGATTTTTTATCAGGTCGTATCCGAGTTAAGTCGTACCCTGGTCAACTTCTACTCTAGTCGAATCGTACCCCAGTCAAGTCGTACCCCAGCCAACTCATACCCATGATGAGGATTATGGGTTTTTTTCCCCTTTTTACTCTGAACGGTTTAATTTTATCAATGATTACAATTCTGTTTGCTTTTGTTTTCGATATTCGATAATTTTTCCTCCCCTTTTGCGCTTAGATTAATTATTATTATATATTCTCCCCAAGAGAAGCTGTGACATCAACGGTTGAACCATACTATCAGAGTATATTCACTGATTTTA